CCAAAACACAGACTGAGAACACAGCTGATTTCTGAGTTTTGCCGCTGGGATGTATGCCTTGCTGAGATTCCCGCCTTTTGCTGAGTTTTGTAAGTCGGTGTGTGTGCGTGTTTGCTGGTCTGCGTGCCTGTTGGCCTGAGTGTGTATGTGGCCCACCAGGAAACTTGTTTGTTTGAGAGACGGGTAGGGCCTGTACTCACCTGTCGCCATGACTTTGGGGTTGCGGCGGGGAAAAACACTCAGCTGGCTGAAGGGGTAGCTTAGGGCACATTCAAGTAGCAGTAGTGTAGGCCCGTAGGCACTTGAGTAGTGGTAGGCCGAGAGAAGAAGACCAAAAGCTAGTATTTTTATAGGGCCCAGTAGCGGTAGGTCTAGGCGGGTACCAGTCCAAGTAGTTCGAGTCTAGGGCCTGTGAGGACAATATCAGAGCCTGCAATGATGTTTCCCTCCGAAAGGGACGAGGTACCGTTTGCTTGGAGGCTGCGCGGCCTGGAAGTCACTGCCCAAGAGGCAGGTTGGCCGGTATATCTCCAGGAGGAGGGAAGTGCTCCTCATTTGCTGCGTGCAAGTTTGGGCGTTACACTGCTGAAGTGCCTGGACAAGCGCTAGTGTGCAGCGCTTTGGGGAAGAGGAGCACCCAACCCTCCACCTTGGCTATGGTGGATGGGCTTGGGAAGGAGGAAGAAAGGGACTGGGAGAGTGGAGAGCCAGGGGTACTTAGCTGGTTGTGGTGGACGGCGTCTTCATCACCTTGGTAGGCGCTGCAATTTGCCATTCAAATACAGCTATACTGACAGGGTGTTCTATTTGGGTGAAGATGGTAGTATCAACCAAATATTTGTATCTCAATTGACTGTTCCAAGGGTTGCATGTCTCCATATTCTTCAAATTTGACCTATTATCAAACGGTGTCCCTGCTCAGTTAATCCCCTCGTTTCCGGGGCAATCAATGCTGGCAGGGGGAGGCCTTCTTATTTTTTTCTCAGAAAAGGGGTGAGCAGGAGAAGTTGATGGTTGGATATCAAGCGTCCTACTAGTGAGGGAGCTAGCTCGTAGGATGGAAATAGGGTACAGCAGCAGCGGAGATGGTGACTCTGCTGTTGTAAGTCTTCCCGAAGTGAGGTAAAAGGGATTGATGGTGGGATTTCTGAGTTGTTTTTTGAACTTTGCCTAAAACATGTTATTCGTTAAAATAGGACATTATACAGTGTCCTCTTTCTAACAAATTCATTTTTGGCTGCATTCTAAGCAACGTAGGCACGCCCATCCAGGGCTTAACCACATGCAAAAGTGTGCTGAGATCCGTACTTGTGAAACTTTATAAATGATATCACAAATGAGGAAGCCTGTTCAGACCCGTACATGTTAGGCACGCCGCACACGAACCTTGTGCGGAAGTGTACTGGGATCCTTACTTGTTGAACTTCAAAAACGTGGCACTGCTGGGAATCCTGTGCGGAAGTGTGCTAGGATCCTTACTTGTTGAACTTCAAAAACGTGCTCAGAATCCTGCGCGGAAGTGTGTTGGGATTCGTACTCGTTAAACTTCATAAACGAATAACGATAGGCACGCCCATCAGGGAACCCTGTGCGGAAGTGTGTTGGGATCCTTACTTGTTAAACTTCAAGTTCATAATTGTGATGAGCAAGGTGTCATGATTGCATCCTCGCTTGATAATTATATTAGAAGACGTAGAGTAGCGGTAGGCACGTCCATCCGAGAAGTCTGTGTGATAGTGTGTCTGTCGGGATCCACACTTGTCAAACTTCAAGTTTGTAAATGTGATGAGCAAGGTGTCATGATTGAATCCTTGTTGGATAATACATTTGTTTCGGTTATGCATAAGTTGTACATTCATGACAATCATCTCGCCCGAGACAGTTATTTAGATGTTGTTGAGATTCGGACTTCTTTAGAATACTTAGTGTCCGCAAAATACGCCCACCATCTCGCCGGATGTGCAGAAATGTGCTGAGATCCATACTTGTTTACAATTGTGAAGAGCAAGGTGTCATGATTGCATCCTTATTCGACATGTATGCTTTGAACAATGTGACATTGAAAACTTCAAGTAATGTAACAGTCACAGTAGCAGTCGAAGTACAAATCACGAACGCAAAGTTGTCGATTACATGCAATTCGGGCGGTCACAAGTATATGATTCTCTGTGCACACAAGAGACGTGATGCCAGTGGTCTTTTACTCTTTGCATAACGAATCTCACACTCACACACTCGCCGAGATTTGTCTTGCATCCACACTCCAATTCGTCATGTCGCACTACACACACGAATATAATTTCGAGGTGAATTATATGCACAACTTTGGATGACCTGGACACAATTTGAAACGAGGAATGCCATGCGACGAATTTAATGGCACGATAGACGAGCGGGACCTGACAGAGCTTCCAAAGTAAACACGCAACGCCAGACTGACAGTCAGCATACCAAAGACAACTCAAACTCGCAACAATAAAAAAAAGTAATGTCGTTGTGAAAGCGACAGTTAAAATATGAAATATTCTGAAATCAAAGTTTGCAAATCACTCGAATCTATCAAAACCAATGGCATTCCAAGATACATGATGCCAATTGTCGTCTAATATGCGGAATATTTTTACAAGAGAACCTGAAAAGCGGTCGATCACCACGTTGCAACAATGTTGCAAACATCAACATAAACACCCCGCAATTAACTCCATCCACTTGTCTTGGAACTCCCTCTATAACAACATTTGTTGCTACCGACTTCCAACTCCTACACGACCGCCTATGTAATATTTGACATTCCAAATAGGGTACAATCAACTCGAAAACACTAAGGTAAAAACTAGAATCGGCTACAACGTGAGGAAAAGAATCGAAAATCTCAAGAACATTATCTCTCAAGTTCACGGAAAGGAGGATCATGTGATCATTACCTTTGTAGACTGGAACAGAGATAATATCATATTGAAGCAGATCCACGTTTTTAGTCCATCTTTCCACCCCGCCGTGTCCTTGAAGTTGCAGTTTACTTAAGAAGAAAGAATTAAAGTTGAAGACTCGAAGGCCTGACGGGATGTCACGTATTCCATATGCGATCGTACCCAATAGCGCCATGTAAAAATTGTCGACCTCATCATTCACCCTGCCATTGGTAAGCGAGAGGGTGATAATATATTTTGCTGCAATTTGCAACTGACCATCGCAAAGGATCGAGAGAACAGTGTTAGGTGGCACCAAGCCTCGTTTAATGTCGTCCAAAACCCGCAAGCTTCCAAACGCAGTCACTGTAGTGAATCCTCCCCAGCCTGTTCCAGGTGCCGTGGCCCGCACTGCACAACATCGAGCAATGGACACGAGGGGGGAGTGAGAAACAAAATTCTAAAGATTCTCCTTTATCGCACGACGAGTAGCTAAGTATTTCTCATACATGGTCTGACCCCTACTCACAGATCGTGGATATGTCCCTTTCTCTAGGGGCAGAAGAAGGGAAAGACACTCCTCAATGGCAATGGCATGCTCCTTCTTCCCGATTTCGACATCAACCCCTGACGCCTTTAACATGTCCTTGTGTTTTGTTGTCAACCCCAGGACTGTCTGCAATATGTATTCTGGATATTTCGAGGGCCTCCGTGTTCGAGATGACCCTACCCCTGTACAACAGAAGAAAGGCAAAACGGAAAATAAATACACGTTTCCGAAGACGAGCCCGACGAAAGGACAATTAAAGAACCACGAAATCTAAAAGACGCAGGACCTATGCAGTTACAGAACCCCATTTGTTCATGAGAGTGCGAGAGAGAGAGAATTTCCGCGTGAGCCCCGTTGGAAAACAAAACGACTAGTGCATTCGAGCTCGACACCCCCGCCTTTCAAAAGGGAAAACCACAACAAGCCACAGAAGCAGAAGCCAAACACCTCCGAAGTCCAGATCCCGACGGACTTTTTCCAATCCAGGGAGATGACCCTACCTCTGTACAACCGAAGGAAGACAAAACGAAAAATGAATATACGTATCCCAAGACGAACCGGACGAAAATGACAATTTAAGAACCACGAAATGTAAAAGACGCATGACCTATCTAATTACAGAACCCCATTTAACCATGAGAGAGAGAGAGAGAGTACTTCCGCTCGAGCCCCCCTGGAAAATAAAAGGAGTAGTGTGTTCGAGCTCGACAGCCTCGCCCTTTTGAAGGAAAAACCACAACAAGCCCCACAGATGCGGAGACCAAACATTTCCGAAGTCAGGATCCCGACGGACTTTTTCCAATCGAGGTACACAAAGAGTAACCGCATCACGCATCGGCCTTGGAAGTGCGGATCCCGGCGGACTAAAACCACCACTCATTCTGGAAAAAAAAACACCATCATTCAATTTTGTGAGGGAACGCTTCAAAACAAAAACACACATGTTTTTGTCTCGTATGCCCTGCACACGACCAGTGACCTGGCCGACTCACAGGAAGGTCGTTCACATGCACTTGAAAGTTGGAAGGAGTGGTGGCTGTAGTATGCCGACATCAACAACTCCCCGCATCGGCAGACATTGCAGTCACTCCCTGTGTTTATGGTACTGAACGTAGGTCGCCGACATCCGGACTACGAAGGAAGCCGCACTCTCGCTCTTGGGAGGCCGGACGTGCAGACTGAGTGGCGTTTGTCACATCTTACTAGCCAGTTTGTCCCTCCGCTCCTTCATCGGTGAAGTTGGCGTGGGCAAGGCCAGCACGTCGAGAGCTTGAGTGCCGACCCTAGTTTTTTTCGAGGACGTGACATGTTGTCGTCCCCCGATCCCGCCTTCCCCTCCGCTGGCGATGGTCGGCGACAGTATCGGAGAGTTCGGCGGCGAGAAAGCCACAGCAGATGCCTCGAAAGGTTTGACGTTGTGAGGGTCGTCGACATCAGGCGTCGAGGAAGGCTGCGCGGACATGTGGTGGTCGCCCAGGATGCCATCGATAACTTCTTCGACGTCTATACGGACACTCGGTTTAGACAGGCCGACAACAATACGAGCCTCGTTGAACCGGTGTTGGAGATCGACGGCAGACGTTATTGCTTGGACCTCAAAGTCATCACGTTCGACCTAAAGGCTGGTGACCACCTGTGTCTCCATCTCCATTGCCGTCTCATTGTCGTCGTCGTCTTCCTCGCCATGTTCTCCGTACAGCAGCCCGAATCCGTCAGACGACTCCCCAGATCTGGCATCGTCGTCATTGAACGTTCGTTCGTCGTCTCCAGTATCGACGTCCCCTTTTTCCCCCTCATTCCCTTCGAACAACTCACCCAACTCCATTTCTCCCCCTTCCTCTCCTTCCTCTCCTTCCTCCTCTTCTTCCTCCCCTTCCTCCCCTCCTTCCTCCCATTCCTCCCCTTTGTCTCCTTCCTCCCCTTCCTTCTCTTCGTCCATTACCCTGCCTCCTTCCCTTGCATGCAATCCAGCCACTTCGCCCGAACCCGTGTCGAATTCCGACGAATGCCCTTCTGGCTCTACACACGCAGGCCTTCCTGTCGGCACCACAATCCCTGGTCGCCCCCCCTTGCCTGAAGAAGTTCGGATCCCGGCGACTCTTCGCCGTCTCCCTGTCGTCGGGTCCTCCACATGTACCTTTGCGCTCCGACCGAAGCGGTCGTCGATCCCCCGCAGGCGGCGCATTCCCGTCCCTCACCACACCGTTGTCAATTTTGGGGTCACCACTCGGCACCCTCGCTCCAGACCAGCTCTGCGCGTCCGTCCTCTGTGTCCGCTCCGCAAGCATTGAAGTTCGGATCCCGGCGGACTTGCATGTTTCGCCCAAGCCAGCATGGAGAGCAGCCAAGGCTGTCATCACCGAGCCGGCGGATGAAGTGGGCACGTCGGCGGACTGTGTCGAGCCCTCCGGACCGGGACCGGTAGACTCCTGACGCCCGAAGGCCTCCCCCGCCACCCCACCGCTGCCTTCCGCTGCCGTGGTGTCGCTGTAAGACCCGCCCTCCAAACCAGGCGGGACTCCTTTGCCACCCCCAGCTTTGTCGCCCTCGTCCTCCCCACCGTCTGATCCCCGGGCCCCCGAACTCACATGCATCCCAGTGGGAGGTGGGATTTTCCAGTCCACCCTTCCCTTCGAGGGGCTCGTATCGAGGTCGTAGTAGTCCTCTGTCAGTTCCAACCAGCACTTCTCCTGAAGTTCGTTGAACAATCGCCCGGCTGTGGAAATGACGGACACGTCGTCGGGTGCAAACGAGTCATTCTCGGCCCTCACTGTCTGGCCCGGGACGTAGTTGGCGATGGTCGGAGGCCAGAGCTTGCAGTCTCTCCAGCAACTTCATCGGGGTAGTGCCAGGTGTCGGTTTCGCCATCGGTGACACGAGGGATGCCGGGCTTGTTGACGGACCTGCCAAGGACGACCCTATAGCATGTTGCGCGGGATCTAGGTAGTACTGCAGGTCGAGGCTTTCGGTGTTGCTGCCCTCCTCGTTCGCATTCTCATCGAACTCGATGCCGGTGGTCTCCTTGTCTTCCGTGGAGATCAAGGAAGAGTAATTGCCGAACGTCAACTCCTCCTCCGACTCCACGAAGTACAGGGACTGCAACCTCTCGAGGAAGGTCTTCGCGTTCATGCGGGAGGCGCCGTGGTAGTTGTCGAGCAGCGTGAACATGTGGTCCTTGCGGCGCACGTACTCGGCGTCAGTGTCCTTCTTCGGCTGCGTTTGCAAGAACAAGAAGTCGTATATCTTGTTCCGCTTCCTCGCACTCAACTTGAACCACATGTCCGTCTTGTTGTTCCACGCGCGAGCCCGAGTCTCGTTGACGACCATGAACTCGCAAGTGTGGGCACCCGAATTGACCTCGCTTTTGACGAGATCAATTGCAAATTGCAACAGGTCAGAGTTCCCTTCCATCGCAATGCCGTGTCGTCCTGCCTTCAGTAGTTCCCACGTGGATCGCGCGTGTGGCTTCCCAAGGAAGACGACACCCTCCCCCTTCTTGGTGATGGATTCAAGAAGATTGACGAATTCCGTGGGGTTGTATTCCATGTCCTTGAACACACTGCCCCGCCGTGCAGGCGAGGTATGCGACCAGTCGCAAAGGTTGAACGGAATGTCGGACACATCCGTTTGCGTAACCTTCTGTGGCAGCCGCATTGCAGCAGCGGCGCCTGCCGGCAGTTTCCCCTCGTAGACGATGGACGTGTTAGCGCGCAAATCATCACCCTTGAAGAGGATGTACATCCGGTTGTCTTCCTTGTATAAATTGTTCCCGACGGGGAAGCTTTTCTTCTGCTGACTACTCCTCACCCACTTCCTTTCCAACAACTTCACGAAAGAAAGATGGTTCATGCCAGAAACGAGAGGTTCTTGTGGCGCGACACGAAAACGAAGAGCGTCCAATGTGACGGACACCACGTCCGAAGTTGGGAATCCAGAGTGTCGAACGCTTGCGCTTTCCACAGCTTCAGGTCCACCGGTTCGCAGAGATCGAGGACGAACGTGTGGCTCTTTGTGGCAACCACCGCCTCCTTAACCTCCGCACTCCTGATGTCCGCCTCCAAGGGGTCGTTGTCGAACGACGCGATGGATGTCACGCCACCCGTGTCTTTCCATTTTATGTGCACAATGCCTTCGGCAAGCGCAATCTCGCGACTCTAGTCTACTGCCAGTCAACACGGAGAGGACCTTATTCCTCCAGCCAACGGACAACTTCTTGTGACCGGCCAACTTCTCCGTCACCTCGATCGATTGGTCGTCGTCGCAACCCATGTAAGGCGGGCAGTCCTTAAACAATGAGGAGTCTGTGACGTGTTTCTTGCTGCCGTCCCACAACTCAACATCTAATCCACGACTCTCAAACTGCTTGAAAATTGCGGACCTTGTTTTCAGGAACGGGCACTTCTGGCTCCAATCCGCGTTCGGCCTCTTGTCGTGCTTAAACTGGTAGTAGTTTCACACACACACTAGCACGCGGTCGCACTTCACCAAATGCACCATCTCCTGGACCCTCGGCTTTCCAAGCTTCACCAACGTCAGGGAGCCGGCCTGGACCAAAACCACCTCGCAAGCGAGCACCTTCTTCAGGACGCGACACTTCTCGTTGTCGGTCAACGACTCCATCGCTTTCCAACAATGTGTGTCCGGCTCAGGCACTTGCACGAATTAGTCGCCCTCCTCTTTCTCCTTTTTGCCTTTCTTCATTGGCGGGTGCAGAAGGACGTTGTACACGACCTCCTCCCTTCCCAGCTTGTCATTGTCGATGTAGGCAACCCCAGGCTTCGCGTTTTTGACTTTCTTCTTCCGCATGATCCACTTTGCGTCGTCGTGGCCGAGCAATCTACCTGTCTCCCATTTCTCAAAAAACTCGACGGCCAGTTTCCAGACGTTCTCTCCTGCCATCGCCAGTGGGAAATAGGAACGTAGGGCAGCGCCTTGCTTCTTGATGGCATCCTTGCCCTTCTGATCTGCAAGAATCCATAAGTTGTTGTGCGGTGTCATATTGAGCTCGACATTACAGAATTCACGCCACTTCCGGACCTGATCCTGTTTTCCGCTGGGGTTCCCCATAACAGCCGGCCGGCAAGCGTCGCGCTTCCACTGCCACCGAATGTCTTTCATTGACAGCTTCAGCTGTCTCAGGGGCGTCTTCAGGTCCTTCTTGTTGTCCCGGGAACTGACAAGGAAGTACCCTTCGAAGTCGTCCTCCGAAAAGTACACCATTCGTGCAGGCCACTGCTCGAAATTGTATTTCCTTGCCACCTCGCTGCAGCCGCGTTGTGTTGCCCACACACCGTGTAGTAGTAGTATTGTCCCGCCAGCTCATCCCTCCAATACTCCGGCCTCAGACGTTGTGCCTTGGTCCCGAGAGTCGGTTTATCAAGCCCTAGCGGTGCCAGCTTCAGGGTTTGCAACTCGTAAGACTGCTCTTTCTTTTCGAATGCCAACCGCATCGCCTCTTTGATCCCTTCCATGAGCCCAGGATCCAGGGACAGCAGGTTGTACAGGTCCTCCCACTCCCCGAGGTCGACGACCTGCGCAAGGCTAATCCCGAACTCCCGCTTTGTCCGAACGCCGTCTTTGTACTCGAGGAAGTACCCGGCGTCGACGTCGATGGGAGGCCGTGGCGTCTGTGGAGAGGATGGTCGTGACGCAGCCTGTTTTTGTTTCGAAGTTGGACGTTTGGCACCCGGCCGGCCCTGCTCTCCCTCGGTCCCCTTGCGTTTCTCCCCCGCAGTCCTCGGGGCCTTGTTCTTTAATTTCTTCGAAGAAACGGCGAACTCGTCTGTACGATCCCCCCTCCTCTTCTGTGGAGTGCCTTGCGTTCCCAGGCCGCCCGCGGTTCCCTCCTCCACACCCTGGCCCTCGCTCGTCTCCAAGTCGACCTCCGAAGAGGCTGCCACATTTCCTGCAGTTGTCGCACTCTCTTGTCGAACCGGAGCGTCAATCAGGACCCCAGAAATAGACAACACAGACTGCTGCGTATCCCTCAACGGCGAAGTAGGCCCCTCATCCTCGCTGTCGTCGAACTGACCTCGGCTCTCGCCATGGTGCAGCTGAGTAGCGGGACCAGAACCCAGATCACCGCCCTCCGCCGCTGCCCCGCTTGACTCGCAACCGCCGCACAGCCTTAACGACAACGAGAGCTCCTAGGAGGGGCCGACGTCGCAGGGGACGTCGAGAACGATGTTCTTGTTCTCCAACATGTCGAAAAATTCATGCGCCAAAACAAAACCGCCCCCAAGAACGAGTTCTCTGTAGAACGGGGTGTTCACAGCACCCGCTCCGAAACCCTCACACAGCTCGAGGTCCAACAGTGCCCCTTTCGAATTGGCAATGACGTTGCCCTTGGCGTCATAAACGTTTTGCATATAGAAATGTCACCTGCCCCCCTTCGCGTCCTCCCACCGCAAGACGACCCTAAGTAGTTTACGCCTTTTGTTGCCATCAACGAAGATGACAGGACCACATGGCTGTGCAGTCGGGTTGGAAGCGTCTCCACAGCACCAGTCGATGAACCATTTCGACTTCGCATGGTTCGACCACGATTTCATGGCAGTAGACGACCGCCTTGTGGAATCTTTTCCCGATTCCCTCCCGGAGGTCCCTGTTGGCTCCACCTTGCCCCTCGACGAAGACATCCTGTCTGCGAACGACAACGCAAATCAAACAACGCACCATGCAGTCAACGTCTGGCAAAACACAACAGCAACAGAACAGTCACTGACACACTACAACGTAGGCTCTGCCGCAGCGAAATCCGCACACAAAGACCCTCCGACACCCCAATTTGGAAGGGTGAGAACGTGAAGTTCGTCGGGATCCGAACTTCAAGAGGGCACGAGAGCGAGAGGCAGAGAGAGAGAGAGAAGTCAGTGAAAACTCGTAGTGCGCCGGTGATCAAGCGCTGTTTATGCGACCGACGGGGCACGAGGAAGACCACAGACAGACCAACGTAGAGCCCAAAACGAGAAGTTTGTCGGGATCCGAACTAAAGGACGGTGCGTTAGAGAGAGACGGTGAAAGAGACACAAGATTCGTAATTTTGTGGATGTTAAACTCGACGAGGATGTAGGAAGTCCACACTCACATCAGAGGCCACCTCAAAATGAGAAGTTCGCCGGCATCCGAACTTCGTCCGCTGTCCATTGTGGCGCTCTGTGTACTCTGGCACCCGATGGAGCCCAGTTGAAAGCAGGAGCCTGGCCAACATATTCTGTGACCCTGTTCGGGCGAACTAGGGCTGTTCTTTCAATCGATGGGTGATCAGGAAGACCAACGCGAGCTGAATGGGTAGAAGAAAACGCGAAGTCCGCCGAGATCCGAACTTAAGGAGGCTTCTCGAGAGAGAGACATAGAGAAAAACAGGATCCACACTTAAGGGGCACAAGGAAGACCACCGTCAGATCAAAGGGGAACTGGAAAGACGAAGTTCGCCGGGATCCGAACTATGCAAGAGAGAGATAGAGATAGAGAGATGGGATCTGAACTTCCGTGCCAGGTGAAATCCACGATGCAGCAAGAAAATCACCGTGACGTTGGAGGCAAGACGACAATGCGCAGTCCGCCAGCACTCGAAATCGTTCCGCTCTCCCGTTTCGCAATATGTTAAGTCCGGAAGCGATGTTCAGACCCAGGCGGGGCAGAGAGACGCGGCATGAAAGGTGGAAACCTGAAGTCCGTCGGGATCCGTACTTCACGAGGGCGCGCAGCAGGAAAACCACTCTGTCGTTGGAGGCTAGACGGAAGTGAGTGTCAGTGGATTGCTTGAGGTTCGTACCTAAAGTGCGCGGTGTAGCGTCTACTTGCAACGGCTGCCTCTCACACCACTACCCACTACTTCATATTCACCATTTTCGGCTACACACATGCCTCTCATACCTCTCGCTCCTTCACCACCAAACACGGGGTCTGACAACCAGTCCTGATCTAGTGCCATGAGGGGTTCCTCGCGTACGAGTTCGTGGACCGAAGCCATACATAGCATTTATTGATGATCCGTATACGTGGATCTGCGGTTCCTCGACTGTAGCGCTCTCCGAAAAGACAGAAATGTATTTCATCGTGACAAACAATCCTGGTCATGCCAAGGAGTTCCCTATACAGTCTCGTATGTCAGACACTTTTTCTTCCACCTCACGCCACAACGAAAAGTCTTTGACCTGACCCGTTATTACCAAATCTGGCCACCCATCTACACCAATACGGCCACGCACAAGCACGAACTTGGACCCCTCAATTACCAATTTACCACCTCGTTACGTGACACACGCATAACTGCATCGACGAGTTTCCTGCTTTTGTCCGAAGTGGCGACACAAAACACTCTGGCGAAATCAGATCCGGACACAGTCAACCGCACACAGTAGTACGACACAGCCTGTGGAGAAATCTCGGGGCAACGGAGTGGGTACTGCTTCAAAAATGAACAATGACAAGCGCAGTCCACCAACTCTTGTTTCCACGACCTTCCCCAAGTTCGTGGCGAAGACCTGATGTAGTGGCAGACGAGACGACCGAAATGGCGGCTGATGCAGGGGAGTGTTTTGCGCATACGGTTCAAGAACTCGTCCCGGGACTCATGCTCATGCTTGTCGACGCTGTCAACGACATTATGCACCCTACACATCACACACACATATTACACGACACATACAGAGACGTAGGCACTCGTAAACGGAGTTGGCAAGCGATAACTCCCGTGGTGACGGAAACACCCACTCGACACGTCCCGAACTAAATATTCACAAGCTTTCTACATGCTTTCAAGAAGTGCATGAGCACACGGGCGTGCAGCTCCGCCTGATGTGTGCGTACAACTGCCTTTTTTCCCCTTGATCAGGCGACATTTTATCCCTTCAACGGTGTTTTCGTTAAAAGTGAAATTGTTTTCATGTTCACTTTTTATTTTAATTGTAAAATGACACAAAGAACTGAGGGAAAAATAAGCAAACAACGAGAAAACAATGGTTATATATGAAAGCTGTTGAAGGAAATTAAACATATATTTTCACCTCGAATGTTCACACGTACACAAGCTGCAAACATGTCACTCAAGGATTGACAATCCACTTTGTAAACATGTCACTCAGTAAAACACGCCAATCTCATCAACAACTGATGAGAAGTCTAGGAAATGTCATTACACAACATATTTTCAAAAGTGCCTACAATACACATTTTCACCCGGAATGTTCACACTAAGTAAACATGTCAACCTCATTTTTTCAAACCTAGAACCTCAAATTCTCATTGACTTTCCAATCTAACCATGGACAAAATGTCAAATGTTATTCTAAGTCTCATATCAGGAATACCATCTTGTGAGAAACCGAACGGAGGGAAGTGACATTTTGCAAGCAAAGATGCAAAACCTAACATAAGAACACCACAACTAGAAGAATCCTCTTGAGTAGGAATCCCATCTACTGATGTATCAAAGTAGGATGTAGGCTCCTTCACATGATATTTTTCCTGAAGATTTTATCGCTGAAACTCCGCTCTGAAAAAATCTGCCAAAAGTTCGAGGACTGGACTGTAGTCAACACGATGGAGAGAGTCTACGAGGCAGAATTTACACTCAGAGCGATCTATACTGACATAAGCTAAGGCCCAATGATTTCCGAAATGGAGAGGGATAATTACCAAATCAAAATTGAAAAGATTTATGTCCTTCACCTATCTTGTCCCTTCGGAGTATGCGATTTAGCGGACTGAGCTTTTGACAATCTGCGAAAGAAAAAATAATTTAGAATATGCACAGATGGAATGCTACAAGAACTTTCATCTTTTGCCACTTCTGCACATGTCGAATCCACCTTCTTGATGTAGTCATTGGTGATCTGAACGGCTAGCAGATACAAATTGACGACTTCATCATTTAACCATTCCCCATTTTTGGCGGCGAGCATGACGTCTTTTTTTTCCACCTTCCACCTCCCCTTGTAATCGACAATGTTGTATTCTTCAAGATATTCCTTTTCTTCTACAGTAAGGCGTACTGTTGCTAAAGGAATCTGGAACGAAGGGTCATGCACTGCATACAAACACACATATAAACAACAATAGAGCAACTAAGACTTCACACAAAAAGAAGTGATAGACTACATAGATATGAGCTCATGTTGTTGGTTGTCTATCTGTTTCGTCATCAGTGCTGCTATCCATAACAGATAAACTACAACCTGTGCGATGCAATTTCTTCCCTTATGTGAGGCTTATTCTAACAGCTTTAAACATCCTTAAGGCAGTTGGCTTCACAGATGGAAATGTCATGGGTGTACGACTTCTTCTCTCATTTTACGGCAAAGTTGACAAAGCTTGCAAGCCACGACGAATGATATTCTTCTCTCTCTTCCTTTGCGAGTGTACATGTGTCGTTTTCGACAGTTCTTTTTGTCGCCCTGCATGATTGACAAAATAAAACGTAATGAGTTACAATTCCGACTTTCCGTTGTTGAAACTGACTCATGAATACCAATACAAAATATATGGCCATTGCACTAAGTCTTCATACAAAACAATTGCAGTATTTCTCTTCAGAAAACGCAAAGTTCCAAAGCTAGGTAAATAAACAATACATCTGAGGGATCGACACAATGGGAAATGAGTGCATGTGATGTACCCACTAATCCACATATAGTATTAGATATTCCTTTTAAGATAAGAAAGTGTTCACCTCGATGACTAACTCTCAGTTTTTCTTCAACACGACCTTCTGTCACACCTTCCACATGCAATGGCGCAATAGGAGATTCCTCGATAGCTATCATGAGGTTAGCAGACTGTGGTGTTTGAGGTTGTTCAAGCGTTTGTTGAGGTTGTACAAGTACAGCTTGCTCCGGTGTACTTAGTAGTATATGTCCTCCATCCTCTTCGATGCCCTGTACATGGAGAGTTTCTTCCTCCTTTACGCCCTCAAAAGTGTCATGGAAAGTGCCGCTTACTTTGGCTGGCATCGTCGACGACGACATCTGCAATTCCGTGAGTGTACCAGTAATATCCACTTTTATAGCCTTGCAACTCACACCGCCTTTTCGTCCCGAAGTTTTGGCACTGTTGCCCACTAGTATCGTAGTCGCCCAAACTTGTTCAGCTATACTCACGCCCTCGCAACTCACACCGCCAATAGTTGCACTGCCCCCCTGTGGTCCCGAAGCCTTGCCAGTTGCACCGGCGATCGTTTCCGATCCCACAGTCGGGTTCGACTCGACCGTGAGTTTCTTCGTTTGGTCAAGTCGGGAACGCTCCAATGCGAGGCGACCGTCGTGTTCGACTCGACCGTGGGACCCTTCGACAGTTGAACCACCACTCGATCTTGATCCCTTGCGCTCTGTTTCTTAAGGCCCCTGAGACCCTTCGACAGTTGAACCACCGCCACTTGGTCCTGTAGGTTTGCTATGCTCACCGCCGCTTGGTGCTTATCCCTTGCCTTCTGTTGCTTGACGCCCCTTAAACTTTTCGGTTTGTTGTCGTTCCCCACGACTTGCGTCCTTGCCGCTTGCACCGTCATTTGGTTCCGGACACTTGTCACTTGCACCGCTCCCCGATCGCAATCCTTTGTCATGCGCACCTCCGCTCGATCCGGATCCCTTACCATGCTCACCACCGCCGCTTGATTTTTTCCTCTCCCAAGATTTTATCTGACATGCCAATAATATCCGTAAGCCGGGCTGGTTTGTCTATCATAGAACTCTTCCAGATACTCAAGCCACTGCGATGTTTTGAACTCTTGGAAAATTTCTTCTGTTCTTACATCTAGTCTTGAGTGAGAAACCTCCGGATTAAGTCGCAGGAGTCGCTTGGCAATCTGATTTTTGGCATGTTTCAGAAAGTTTGGTCCTGACATACGTCTGTGGAGGCAAAACTATCACTCCCCTTCTTTTTTTATAGCCATAACCCACCTCCCTCTCGCCAATGCAGGTTGGAAGTGTTGGGGGTGCCATATAATGTGATGACCCTATGTGGCATCATCCGTCACCGTATAATCGTCTCGGCCACTATAGACCCCTGAAGCAGTCGAATGTCTGCAAGGATTGTGTCTCCAATCTCGTACTCCAAAGGCTCATCAGATGGAGGTTGTTGTGGAGTTCGAGAGCGTAGTAATTCCATAACAGTACTTGGGCTGTGTGCAAATGGTAATAGAGTTGCCATCATCTCGGGGGAGAGCATTGCTAGAAGCTTCGGATCCAGACTGCCTCCGGATGGCTCCGTCATCGTATTACCCTCCATTTGAGTCAGTGTAACAATAGAAGAAGTCGGTGGCTGAGTCATTAACTGATCTGTTGAAACCGTCATGCTCGAAGCTCCTCCCGAACCGGACGATGTGCCTGGAATACCCATTCTCTGCGAAGACGGGCTACAAGCTTTTTGCCTCTCAGCTGCCAAAGCCGCTTGCAAAGTGCCATCAACACTCTCTTCTTCTGAGTCATCCGCATCAAAGTCCTCACCATCCATAAAACAAGTCGCATAACCTGCGATTGTAAACGCCCCGATTTGTTGGTCGAAGTACATTGTCTCCAAACGGTCGAGAAATGAAACCTCCCTCTCCGATGGTGCTTTATGATAACCCCTCAAGAGTCTCTCCACTTTTCTTCTTCTGAGGACATAAGTTCGTTCCCCTCTGTCTTACGACTTTGTTTCGAAGAGAAACTCCCAAATATTGACCACGTTTTGGCCAACCTTGTAGACGAGATCACGCCCTTCATCGTGTCGAGGAGGCGGCTTAGTAAAGTTGGCGTAGTAATCTCGAGTTTTTACCATCTTGTCAAGGAACTGAGTGAGGAACTCGAACTTCATACCCTCCCCTTCCAGCACAATGCAATGACGGTGACTCTTTAACAACTCCCAAACCAATCCCGCATGACCTTTCCCGATGAAAATGACAGCCTCATCCGCAGTACAAAAATGCTCCAATGTCTCCACCATTGCATTCAGCTCCCTTTCCATACCATCATATACCCCTTCCTCCGGTGGATCCATACCTGCCATTTTTCACTTTGATGGTAGAAAGTTCTTCTCCACGACATCAGTCAACATCTTCGGCTTTCTCTCTCTCCGCACAAGTGTCGATATGTCAGTCACCCGCTCGACAGATGATGAACCTGCAGCTTGAATATCTTCAAACAAGGGAATAGTGTTGCGATGAAAATCCCCGTCGTTGGAGTACATGATGACCACCATTCTATCTGTGTCCTCCAAAGGCAAGTTTGCAACCTTATACACTTTCCCCTTTGTTTGTTGTAGACGAGTCTATTTGAGAAGATCCAAGTGAATGTCCCACATCGTGACTTGCCTCAAGAATGTGAACTCGCAAGGGCGTGGAACGAAGCACAACAATGTCCAATACTCGCCGCCAAGTTTTTCCATGAACTTTTTGAGTCCACCAAACACTTGTTCAGTCCACGCACCCATCTGGGTCGGGCGGCACAAATCCAGGACGGCTGTGTGGCACGTCAGGTGTCTGACGGCTCTAAACATCTCCTTGCAATCAATCTCGTCTGAAACATCGCTCGGTTCCCACTGGAACGGCACGAATACAGATGTCACGTCCGTTTTTTGGAAATATATATACCTCGCTTGTCCCGACAAACGAATATTATGCGAACCCCCAGTTTCTGATCTACGCAACAACTTGTTGATAAATTGAATAAACTCTTCGGGGCATTTGTTTGCAAGCGATTTTCTTTTCTTGAAGTTCTCCTCTCCTTTCTCATCCTCGCCTCCAAGTGTTGCCGAAAATGACCGCACCCAACTCATTTCTTTGAAATGTCGTCGCTGGTCGATCCACCTCTCCGATGTCAATCCTTGATTACAATACTTAGCGAACAAATCAGAAAGGTTGTCGAAGAATGGTTCCTTCCACTCTGACGACTTCATGTGAGGGTCAAAAATGAAGACGAAGTAGTGAAACATTCTCAACATTGCTCTTTCCTGCTTCACCATTTCCACGTATGTCTCCATCGAATGTTTCCTGACAGTGTGAGCAGCTTTACTTAGCCTTGGAGCCAGTATGACACTTCCCGCGAGAATGTCTCGCAACAGCTGAAGCCTCTCACGCCTCCCCAACGTAGACATAGCCTTCCATGATCTGACATCCGGATCGCGCACAACCACGCGGTAACCAGGTCCTCTAGTACCCTGAATCCAGTGCACTGGAACCCTGACTCCTTTTTCCAACTCGAATCTGGGGCCAGGTCTCGGCGCTTTCCCCGATTCACCTTGTTTGGTGGCAGGCTTCACACCATCTCTCCCCGACAACTGTCCACTCTCCCAAGCAGAATACACTTGTTGCACCTTGTCGAACACATCATCCGTCTCCCTTGCCAATACCATGTAAGGCCCGAGGAAGTCGGACCACTCCTTGCTCCAAGCCTGAAGTGAAAGAGTAACCAAATGATCACTCGCGGTCGCGCGCAGAGCCATCGCCGCAAACTCTCTTTAATCCTTATTTTTGACGTATGCAGCAAATCCGCCTATAGCTTCTGGACGACTGACTGCTTGCCACAACTTTCGTATGTTCTTAATGATAGCAATCTGCTGCGGAGGAGTATTCCATTTGTCCTCCGCATTTTGGAAAGTGCTCAAGATGCAGTAATTCTCCATGCTCCTATCCGGATAGTAAACAGGCCTTGCAGTCCAGCAATTCAAACGGAGCTCACGGGCGATGTTAGGGCGTTCTTGAGAACATTTCCTCGCCGCCGCAACATTGTGTTGACCACTGAGAGGGTACCAGTAGTACTTGCGCACGGATTGGAGATCGAATTCGTCGGGCGTCACTCTTCTCGCCCTCACACTCGTGCCGGAAGCGTCAGTATGCATTGTATCATGTAGCCCAATCAACAAAAGGACAGGCTTATCGTACAATGCACATACATTCACCCCGGCTGCCCCGGTCGTTCTCTCTCTGATAGCTGCCTCACCCGACTCAATCATTGTTTTGTAAAGGTCATCAATAAGCTCCTGATCGAGGAAGCGTTGATTATATCTGAATTCCTCATCAGGGATATCCAGAATCCTGTCCAACTTGACAGTAATGAACTGCATTTCCGGCCTCTGGTTACCATTCTCGTCGAACTCAAGGAAGAAGCCTTTGCTCAGATGACCAGAAGAATTCCCAGGCGGCAAAATCTGCAAACCGGGCGGTCTGATGACTGTCTTGCCCACAATGTCTTCATTCGACTGTGGCTGGTCCGGTGGAAAAACGAAAGTTTTTTCCATCACACCTCCCTTCGCTGCTTTTTTCCTTGGCTGCCGTTTTTTCTTCATAGCCTCCTCAGCCTCCCGCGTACGTTGGACGACCTCCTCAACTGCCAGCATTTTCAACTTGCGTTTGCCCTCCTATTGCTTAGCCCCCCCTTCCTGCTTGGTTTTCTTACTGTCCAAAGTACTTCTCCTCTCTTGCCGGTTCTTCCTTTTCTTCTCAGCTAGTCGGACTGCATCGGCATGCACTGGCTCGACCCCAACTTCGCGGTGCATTTCCCCGCGCCCTGGATCCGCTTCCCAATGCCCATGACCTGACGCGAGCAGCTGCGTTCGTTTGGAACCCCAATGCACATCTGCATACCCTCCCTCGCCGGTCGTTTCCTTTTCTTGCCCTTCGTCCTCATACTCAACCCCTAGACGACCCTCCAATTCACCCGGCCCACCCCTCCCCTCCACCTAACAATGGAAATAAACCAGGCCGCACGATAACACACTGCACATAATCTATGTGCGCAATCCACGCCCATAATTCCACGCACGCAACCCATGCACGATTCGATGAACGATTCGATGACATTGTACCACGCACAATCTTGTTCGACTCGACGACAAGGAAGGATCATGTTCGGCTCGACGACAGGGCACCATCTAGACGATCGTGACGATCGTCTTCGACTCGACGATCGTGTTCGACTCGACTATCGTGTTCGACTCGACGAACACAATCGTGTTCGACTCGACTATCGTGTTCGACTCGACTGTCGTGTTCGACTCGACGATCGTGTTCGACTCGACTATCGTGTTGGACTGCACTATCGTGTTGGACTCGACCATCGTGTTCGACTCGACGATCGTGTCAGACTCGATGATTGTGTCCGACTCGACGATCGTGTCCGACTCGACGATCGTGTTCAACTCGACAATCGTTGTTTGACTCGACTATCGTGTTCGACTCGACGATCGGACACCGTCGTGTTCGACTCGACGATCGGGCAGTGTCGTGTTCGACTCAACTATTGTGTTCGACTCGACGACCGGGCAGTATGGTGTTCACCTGGACGATCTCGTTCGACTCGACGATCGTGTTTGACTCGACGATCGTGTTCGACTCGACGATCGTGTTTGACTCGATGACCGGGCACGATCGTGTTCGACTCGACGAGCATGTTCGACTCAACTGTCGTGTTCGAATCGACAATCGGACATTGGGCGCGATCGTATTCGACTCGATTATCAGGCACTGTCGTGTTGGACTCGACGATCGGGCACGATCGTGTTCGACACGACGAACCGGACACAATCATATTGGACTTGACGATCGGGCGCGATCGTGTTCGACTCGACGA